GCAGATGATGCCCTTTGGGGTGCTGAGTCAGCTGTTCCCCTGCAGTCAATTTCCTCCTGAAGGTTCAATAACTTTCCCTGACAAGAAAAGAAATCTCAGATATTAAGCTTGGTATAAATACCATCTTAAGTCAAAACATCCCCCTCAATTCAAGAGTCAGGGAGCATGGGGGAGACAGAATAGACTAGGTATAAGATGATACCCAAATTCTATTTAGACTGCTGTGAGAGCATCTCTGAAACAACCTCATAATAAGCTGAGGTGAACTGGAAAGTCTCTGGTTATTGAAATATCTAGAGGTAGCATTTCGGGATGGTGATAGGGCTGAGGCTATAGAGAAAGGAGTGGAAGCCCCTGTTCCCTCTTTGGCACCTCCAGGTCCTCGATTAATTCCACCTCCCACCCTCAGTGTGGAGGTGCCTCTGTGGGGTACCCAGCCTGCTTTGCAAGATAGGAGCTGGAAGGTGCTCCCTACTAACTGGGGAAGTCAAGCTTGGGCCACCCAGTGCCCTGCCCTCCACAGTTGAGGTATCATCTGGTTTGGGTAAATATCAGTGTAACACACTATGTGGATATAGTGTACTTTTCCTCTGTAAGAAGCAGCTGTGGCCATTGGACTCTTCCAGGGCTTTGGAGGTGAAGTGGGCAGGGCAGTGGCCAACACGTGTGGGGCTTCGTGGCCACAAAATAAGGAGCGCCCTCTAGAAGTTCAACTATTAAAAGACATCTTCATAATTGCACTTAGGCAGCCAAGTTTGGATGAGTTTCTGTTCCCTTGCATAGGACCTATGACAGACATAACTACCAGCAAAACCATAAGGGTGATGCTGAGGGAAGACGCTTCTTACTATAACACTTGAATATTTTGTGAATCAAACAATTTTCTCAAACTTAATTAGTTAAAAAAAGGCAAGCCTTGTACATCACAGTCTATTGCTCAGCCTGTCTTCTATCATCTATCTCAGGGGAGGCCTGATTTTGAATATGTAAAGGCCAGGAATGCCTATTATTTAGTACTTTGTTTATTTACTTTACAGATATTAATTTGTAACCCAGCCATTAACATCGAAAACTTGAAATATGCAAGAGGTAGCCCAAACCTATATACCCAACATGAGTTATTGAAACTTAATTACTGAGGCAGTTAAGCTGTGCTATAGACGAGTTCATCTCTGATTGCAGCTATAACCCATGCAGTTTGCAATTGAAAGAAGGGATGATAGAAGGCGGCAATATAGCATGAGAACATCCATGAGTTGATTTTAATTGGTAAACTGACATATATACTGGTAACTGTTTGGTCTGTCCACTGCATTGGAATCCAAGGAAAGTGAGTAAAATTACAGGAGCATATAATTGGTGTACTAAACTCATTTTCTTATGTTATCACAGCTGGCATCTTCAGGTTATTAAAAGCCTTTAAACCAGTCATCTTCAAAGAGATCTAATTGTCAATATGGTCTTTATACATTTTTCCTGTTAGAACAGAGCAGAAGAGATATAAACAGGCACTAAAACCTGCACAAATTTTCTAGGCACACCTTTTTTATTTCAAGTTCATGGAAGATCAGTAAATGTTAATGAGGAAATAAACATCCTTTAGATTTCCTCATTTAAGGCATCAGGCAACCAAACCACAAAGGATGAGTTATGAACATTATAACCTGAATAAGACTTTTAAAAACTTAATTTATTAGTTCCAGGAAGTTCTGTGATCGTTTTTTATATTGAAGGCCCAATAAAAAGTGACTTTCCCTAGTATAAACGATATTATCAGAAACACAAAGAATAATCTTAGGTCCTGACATTCTTGGATGAGCAATTACAAGTTGTTTCACCTGCTTATTTTGGCTGTGCAATCCAGACGCATTTCTAGACAGGTTTTCATACTCTACCCATCATTCATCCATCCATCACCACACACCCTCCTCAAGGAGTCCCCAGCAAGAGAAATAGAATTAACAGAATAAAACAAAACAAAAAACTTTCTCCCCATCCTATGGCATTCTAAGATAGGAAAAGAAGTCCCCACACATGGAGAGGTATAAAATAGGAAGACAAGATAGTGTAGCTGAAATCTGTGTTTCTTTATGTCTCACCACCAAGAGTATGAATGGTAGCAGAGAATCATTAATGGTATGCATCACACTCTCATTTTATTTTCTGGAACCTTCAGTGTATACCTTCCTTGTCCTGAGAATGTGACCACTCGGCTACATTGATTCATTACTGCAGCCTCTGCTGGTCATCCTGATAGGAAGGTGCCCTGCCTTGGCTCCATCAGTGATGCTTCCTTCCATGGGACAGCTGCTTTCTGTTGAGTGCTACTGACATTCTGGAAGCCTTGTGCTTTGGGGGGAATTTAATGCACTGAAGCCTTAGTATGAAGCCATACTAATGTTCATGATTCCTTTTGTGTACACTCATGTTCTCAGGTGAGAACACAAAGTTGTCTGAGGCTTCAGTAAGTCACAAATCCATGGGACATGCTGAACTTGGAATCATCCAAACACTAAGGTCTGTGGCCTCAGCCTCTACTACAAAGATTTCTTGTTCAGAAGGTCTCTTGGCCTCTCATGTAAACAGAGTGCATTTCACTGGTCTTCCAGATATATCTGAAACTCAGATGTGGTGCAGCTTAGACTACAACTGGAATCTGTCCTATGTGCTTATACATTTGACCTCCAGAAACTTTTCTGCACCAGTTGATGAAATAATTTTTTTACCCAAAGTTTGGCTTAATCTCTGAATTATTGATCACTAACTTAGTCCTACTTGAACGCAACCCAGTATATTGAGTCTCAGTAAACTCTGATTCCAGATTTCAAATCACTGCACATAATATTTTTTTATTTTTTGCTATCTCAGTTAAAAAAGTACTACAGGTAGCATGATTCCCTCTATTTGGATGCAAGCATGGCTTGTATAAGCAGTCAAGACAAAGTATTCAAGTACTGCTATTTAGTTACAATGTTAGGAACCCTTTATTGCACATGGAACTTAGCATGGAATTTCAGTAAATACTTCTTCATGTCTCAGTGCAGAATTATTTTAAGTCCACTATACTTTAATATTATTGCTGCAGTTATAAGACATTGGTTACCAATGATGATAATGTTTTAGTTACTTTATATATCAAAAAAAAAATCATTAGGTAAAAATTATCTACTATATCTCAATTACATTGCAAGAAGATAATATCTTTCAGGATAAAATCTGGAATAAGAGAGTTAAGCTAGTAATCTTGATAATTTTAAGATGAAATAACCCTTTGTTCTCAAATTTAAATGCTTCATATTTTTAGTATGTTTATGAGCTAAAATAGAAAAACACAGCAAAATTCAAAGACAAAAGGACTTTCCTTATTTTAAACAATGAATAAAGCCTGAACACAGGGCAAAACCTTTAGGGAGTAGATAGCTATTGGTTTTTGGCCTACCGTAGACCTACGATGGGCCTACTATCTGGTCCACTATAATTCTGAGCAGGTGTCATCAAACAGCTCTTGCCATCACATTCATTTCATTGTGAGTCTAGCTGTCTCTCTCCCTGCCAGTCTCTCTCTTTTAGAAATGATAGTAATTCTAATAACAGTAAAGAAAATATATAAAACAGTAAAAATATTTATGGAAAGTTATTTCGTTTAATGCAATTTCTAGGTAACTGAACTTTATTAAAGTTAAAAAGCCTTACATTTTTTGATGGATTTATTTCTAAAATTTATACAAATCATAAAATATTTGTATATTTGTATATTTGCATGATTTATAACTTTTCTTAATGAATAATTGTTTTGAGTTCTAGAACACTGATACTTTTGGGATTCATTCATTCATGCATCTAACAAATACTTAGTGAGTGCTATGCTCCAAGAACTCCAAGAACTTACTAGTTTTAAAAAGCAGAAGAACTAGAAAAATGAACAAGTTTGGATTCGTCATGCTTCCTGTCTTTATTAGTGTTACTGAACTCTAGTGATCTGATTCAATTACCAATCTCAAAGGTCTCTGGCATTTTTCCTGGGAAGACTAATATATCTATGTGCCAATGAACCTTAGAAGAGTAGCCACCATTGTTATTACTTACAAATTATGCAACAGAATACATCTTTCTTATGGTCATGATAGCCTACCTGACAATTCTCTGAGCCTCCAACCCTCAAAAACTTTAAGAGGCAGGTACCAAAACTTTCAAAAGGGAGAAAAAATTAGGTTCTTTACAATCCCCTTTTTTTTTAACCATTGCTCTTTCTACAAAGAGAGCAAGAATTCTGAGCTGCCTTTATGGAGATGGTAGCAAAAGGACTAAGACTCATTTATAGACTCATCAGACATTAGAGCTGGAAAGAGGCCATGGTGGGCCACTGGGAAGCATGGTGGCTAAGACTTCCAGTTCTAGGACCAGATTGTCTGGCTATACCCCGTATATTCATTTGACCTTGGTCTATACTCAACATGTCTGTGCCTCAGTTTACACATCTGTAAAATAGTCTGTACCTCACAAGATTATGAAGATCAAATGAATTAATATAGGTAAAAAATTATTTGTATTATGCCTGGTCCATAAAAAGCACTTGGCAAGTATTAGCTATTATTATGCTTGATTTCTTCACTTGTTTTCACAGATAAAGATAGAACCCCTAAGAATTCAGTGAACAGAAAGAGGTGAAATCAAAACTTAAACAAGGTATTCTAATTCTGACTACATTTTTATGTATTTTTTAATATCCTGCTTAAAGTGTACATATACTTTTTATATACACTTCACAAATGGAAGAAATAAATACTGCATCATTTAAATTATTATGAAGGGACTGCTGTTCAGGTATATATCAGACTCCTTCCTGTTTAAAACAGAAAAATCAAGCACACAATTGCCTTGTGCTAGTCCCACAACATCCACCAGGCAGGACTCTTTCTACAGTGGCAAGTGACAAAGAACCAGGAAGCCATGTAAAGTTTAATTTTACGCACCAGCAAGGCAACTGTTTTCTCCCTTACCTTAAACTTGTCAACTTCAGTTTTTGAACAGGTTGCATGGTATGAGAGCACCTGAATCAGAAGGAAAAGAAAGAACTTCAATAACCAAATATGACTCTATTTTCTGACATTCTCCTGGCTTAAAAAAATAAATAAATTTTGCTTCTGTATATCACATTGATATAACTGCAGATTTTAATGTACAAGAAATTTCCAAAAACCATGACACAGACTGTCAGTGTGTGACAGTGGTATTGTGCAGTTACAGTGGAATCTGTTGTCATGCTGAATGGAATGACAACATGTATTAAAAGCTAAATAGCTCAGGGCCTCCTCGGTGGCAGAGTGGGTTGAGTGCAGTGCTGTGAAGCTGTCCACAGTCTCCGCAGCACGAGTTCAATTCCTGGCCGGCTGGGGAGCTGCCCATATGGCATGGCAGACCTCTCCTGTCTCTCTCACTGCTCCCCTCAGCAGTGCTTTCGGTCGTCTGCCTGTTCTGCTCCCCACTCTGTCTCTGGTGAATCCTCTCACCCTCCCACGCCTCTGGCCTGTACCCCAGCTCTTGTATAAATAAATAAAATCTTTTTTTAAAAAAAGCTAAATAGCTCATCTCAATTTTTATAGGTAGTTATTTATTTTATCAATGGACTGCAATGAGACTCAAGCCCACTATTTCCAAATGAGGCGAATATTTGTCCTGTAAGATCCCCTGGAACATGAATAAAAATGCAGTGTGTGTGTGTGCTGGCACATACCACAGGTTACTTGCTGACTCAACTTCCATCATGATCTATTCTCATTTGCCTACTTTTATTACATAGGAAAGATTACATTGTTATGCTCAGCCATCTTCTACTTTTATTGTAAGAAGATTCTATATCCCTGCCCTATTGACATCAGCCTTAATATGTGGCTTGCTTTGGCCAATGGAATGTAGGGCAAAGTGGCAGATGCCCCTCCTGCGCAGGCTGGAGCTGTCATGTGAAGCTGCTACCTCCCTTTTTTCCATCTCTACCATGGGGGGCAGGGGGGCTACGGCCCCAAGAGGGACTGCTCTTTCAGCCTGGGCTCCCAAATGACAAAGGAACTTTGAGCAGAGCTGCAGCTAACCCATACCTGATGGCAGGTCATGTGAGCAAGAGGTCACCCTTTCTGTTTATTGCCACACCAGCTCACTGACACAGGGATTTTGAAACACAAAATCCAAGTCACAGGCTCTCTGTGACTGGAGTGGTCACAGGGATGGCTGTATGACCCTGCTCTGGTCAATGTAAGTGGAAGTATTGAGGCTACTTCTTTCCTTTTCTTTCTCTCCCTCCCTGGAGAACAGCAGTAAGGCAACAAAATTGGGCACCTATGGGGTGACAATCAAGTATGAATGATCATTTCATTCATAGCAGACAAAAGAAATATGAGTCTGCTCCAGATTTCTAGTTATAGGGGACAAATACTCATTTGTTTAAGTCAGTGTTGGTATACCATGCAAACCTCAAACAATAAATCTGGGAACGGCTAAATCCCTATTTACCTACCAACTTCAGAGAATCTAAGTCAGTATTTGGCTCTGAAAAGCAACTTATTTAATTTTGTTAAACTCAGCATTTCCCAAATCTAATTAGGCACAGAACTTTCTTTCAGATGATATATTAAGCTAGTAACATTCCAACCTATTAAATGAGAACTTTGAGAAAAGCTGACCCAAGGCCTGCACCGTGTGTGACAGAAGCAGGGCCCTGCGGAGCAGCGTCCATGGCTGTCAGAACCCAGCGTAGGATGTGGGGCGCCACTTCCCGGCTCTGGGAGTTTGGGCAAGTGACTCCTTCTCTTTAGGTCTCATGTGAAAATGGTATATTAATAATAATAATAATAATAATAATAAACAGGTATCTACTGTTTAACATCAGTAATCTATTCTTGAAAACAGAGGTTCCACCTGAAAATGCCAAGAGTACTTTCACTATGTTTTTTAAAGATTTATTTATTTATGCATACCAGAACTGGGGCGGGGGGGGGGGGGGGGGGCAGTAAGAGGATTCACCAGAGACAAAGCAGGGAGCAGAACAGTCAGATCCACTGAAATACACTGCTGAGGGGAGCAGTGGGCGAGACAGGAGAGGTCGGCTGCACCATGTGTGTCACCTTCCAGGCCGGGGATTGTACTCGTGCTGCAGTGGCTGTGGATTGCTTCATAGTGCTGTGTCTTAACCCCTTGAGCCACCAGGAAGGTCCCTGTTTTCACTATTTTTAACTGAAAAAATTAGAGTGTATTATAAGACCTACAGCCACTTCCTAAAATTTAAAAATAGAGTAAATTCCTGGGTGTGTATTAAACAAAAAATGATATTAGACTATAAATTGCTTTAAGTGTTACATTCTGATCTCAACCAATATAGTTTTTACAGAACTGCTTTATATTCAGTACTATCTTCTCTTCCATTGTAAACACTTTAATACAGTCATATATATATTTTTCACCATTGTGTTTCAATAATTTCTTCACTTTGGAGGGCGACTCATTATCAATTACTAAGCAAAAATGAGAGCTAAATGCTAGAGGCATGTGACAAGACAATAGCACAAGTGGCCCTTCCCGGGCAAGTTCTCACTGAGATGCTCGTTGTTGTGAGGCTTCACTCTGGCTCTCAAAATGTCTGTACATGATTCTGGTGTTATTCAGGCCAATTCTAGCTGGAATATGAATCAAAACTTCATTTTGTTCAAAAAAATGCTTAAAATTTTGGGGACATAAATACGTATTTCCCCCAATATATGCAAAGGCATAAAAATGTTATATTGACATATGAATATGTTCTATGAAAATTGGTTATTCAAAAACTAGAGATTTTTCTACTAAGAAAATTCTGTGGTGTGGACCTTCACATCACTCCTAGGAAGATTAAATGTAATGATACATGTTGAATACCCAGCACACAAATAATCAACTTATATTTATTGTATTAATATTCAATTACAATCCTATCATATAAATATTTGGAGTATTATGTCATCATACTATATCTTCATTGTCTCATAGTTATTAATAGGTATTTTCAATGCAGAAACAACTGAATAGATTTTTGTTCTTTGGCTCAGTTTATTATGGTAACTTTAATTTGACTGTCATCTTATTAGAATTTCTAACTATTTACAAGTCTCTTTTTGCTTTCTATCTTCAAAATTTATTTACCTAAAAAAAAGTTCCACAAAAACTCAAATTGAAGTTCAAAATCTCTGCCAGCAGGTGGTGCTTAGCAAGGCTTCTAAGTGTAAGGCATACTTACTTACTCCCTTGTTTAAATCTACTGAACCCACTTCTTTACTATTTAAAAAGGAAAAACACTATTAACTCCTCTGACTTGAAATTATTTGTATCAGTGAAATAGATAATAAAGATTTGTTTATTACTGAGTTGTAGTTCTCTGTGTATTTTAGATATAAGTCCTCTGTCACTGAATGTTTTGCAAATATTATCTCTCAATCTGTGGCTTGTCTATTAATTTTCTTTTAACGAACAGAAGTTCCAAAAGGCAACTGTACCTGAGGGGAGTAATCCTACATTGTGAAGAAATAAACAAGGATGTTTGAAAAATAAATAATAGATAAAAATAAATAAATTTGATCAAGATTAATTTGCCATTTTGTTTATTGTTTCGTGTGTCCTTTCTAAGAAATTTTGGTGTATAGACTCTCAAGTTTGTGTCTACATCTTGTGCCATCTTGTAAAAACTTCATAGTCTCAACTTTTGTTATGGTCTATGATACATCTGAAATAATACTGGTATATAGAGTGAGATTAAGATTATATGAAATAAATGTCATGCTTACTTTTTAATAATTTTTAAATTTTAACCCTAGGAGTCCTTATGTCAAGAGGAATGCAGGGCCTCCCCTGGTGGCGCAGCGGTTGAGTGCTGGGTTGCGAAGCTGCCGGCAGCCTCTGCAGCGCTGGTTTGATCCCCAGCTGCCGGGCGAGGGTCCCACATGGCGCGCAGACCTCTCCTGCCGCCCGCTGCTCCCCTCAGCAGTGTACTTCGTCAGTCTGTTCCCCCCTCTGGCTCTGGTGAATTCTCTCACCCTCCCGTGCTTCTGACTGTACCCAGTGCTTGTATGAATAAATAAATAAATTAAAAAAAAAAAAAAAGAGGAATGCAGGCGAAAGAGTTATAGTGAAGCCATGTGAGAAAGAATTGACCCACCACTGCTAACACTGGAGATGGAAGCAGGCCTCTAGAAGCTGGCAAAAGTAAGGAAATAAACAGTCTCCTAGAGCTTCCAGAAGGAACAAAGCTCCACTCACACCTAGATTTTAACCCAGGGAGACCCATTGCAGACTTCTGACCTCCAGAACTTTAAGACAATAAATGTGTGTTTTCTTAATCCACTAAATTTGTGGTAATCTCTTACAGAAGTCATAGGAAACTAGTATTACAAATCTGTTTCTCTCCTAGTCTTCCCCAACTCCACAAATGACATGTCAACCAATCAATTATTGAATCAAACACCTGATTTTTCTCTCCTTTTTTCCCCCTCACATTAACTCCATTAGAAACAATGTCACTTTCACTCCTACATCTTTTTTTATTTAAATTTTATTTTTTATATTCACCATATAATTACAACCCCCTTATTTTGACCCAAGCCCTCCTTTCCCCGCCCCCCACCCCCTATAGACTGTCTCTGGTTCATAGTTGTTTGTTGATTTTGATATTTTCTTTCTTATAGTTATTCTTTTTCCTGGTCCCTTATTTAAGTTGTCTAGATTCCTGCTATGAGTGGGACCATCCGGTGTTTTTCTTTTTCTTTCTGGCTTATTTCTCTGAGCATGATTCCTTCCAGCTCCATCCATGTTGCTGCAAATTGCATGTGTTTATCTGTTTTGAATGCTGAGTAATATTCCATGGTGTATATGTACCACATCTTCTTGATCCAGTCATCTATTTTTGGGCATTTGGGTTATTTCCAAAGCTTAGCTATTGTAAATAGTTCTGCTATAAACATAGGGGTGCAGGTGCTCTTTGGAATTGATGTTTCTGTGTCCTTTGGGTAAATACCTAGGAGTGGAATTGCTGGAT